TTTATATTTTGAAGTGGGATCTCTTTATGTTACCCAGCCTTGTCTAAAACTCCTGAACACAAGTGATCCTCCCGTGTCAGCTTCCCAAGCTTTTTGGACTTCTAACACATGCCATCACACCTTCAGGTGTTAATAAAAAGGGGTGGAGTATTCAAAAATAATTGAAGACCTCTATTTATTTCATGAATCATTCCTATAGCTTTTCATTGAGTAGAGCTGTAACTTCAGGCAAATGAGTATTGAAAGCACAAGATCTGCACCATATGCCTCTGTATGTCTATCTCCTAAGAGGTATATGTTGTATACCTAAATTCATTTGTCTCCTGCCCTCTTCTTCTTCTGACAGTGTCTGTTTATTAGACATAGAGACACATGAGCAGTACCTTGGATCATTCCTGCACTGTTCAGTTTGAATCTGCTCTGGTGAAGCTCAGCCTCATTTTTCCATCCATGGCAGAAAACCCAGAGGAGAAATCATATGATGTGTTAAGTCTTTTTTGGCTGCTATTTCCAACATTCTCCTTGAATACATTTGAGAATGTATTCATATCCACGCCTCCCTTTGTGCCATTAATTAAAGCAGCCCTTCCCAATAAAAGTGGATCTCCAATAACATAAAACACTAGAGATGAAGTAATTCATTGTTCTTTAAATTGGATGAGGTAATAAAGATCCTAGACTGTTCGCATGGAGAGTTGCCAATACCTGGCTACTAGTCTGATCCCTAATATGTCAAAACTGCCTCAAGGTTAAGATATTGGTCTCTTTCTAAATTCTGAGTCCACTCCTATCAAAGAGACCTTGCCGTTTTGTACTAACATGTTTAACATGTTCAAGATGCTACAATAAATCTCAAGCTCTTTCCCTTGTGGTCTACTGCATCAGGTAATGATGGCTACTCTTCCTTCTTGTTTTGATGCCCAGTAAAGGTATGAAAAGGAGTCCTGATCTGAAGCTAGGATTATAAAGGGAAGCACCTCGAATCCTATGCACTACAGAATCTGTAGAGCTCCTGGAATGATCAGTAAAGAGTATTTCAATCTTGCTGGGCAGTGGTGGCACATGCCTTTAATCCCAGCACTTGGGAGGCAGAGGCAGGGGGATTTTTGAGTTCGAGGCCACCCTGGTCTACAGAGTGAGTTCCAGGACACCCCGGGAAACCCTGTCTCAAAAAAAGAAAGAAAAAAAAAAGAAAAAAAAGGAATGCTTCAATCCTAATGACTTTTAAATGTTTTATATCATTCTTTTGTTTGAAGATTTGTTTGTTTTTGTGTTAAATAAGCATGTGCCCTTGCCTTCCTGAGTTTATATGTATACATTATATTCAAGTGTGCAGTATTTCTCCTGACCTTTTGTTTTCAGGACTTTCTTTTGTGGTTGAAAAAGGGAAGCTTCTCCACATCACAAGAGGTCATTGGTTTTGTCTGAGTGAATAACCTACTGCTCTCTTTAGGTGAGGGTGTTATGAACCACCCACCAGGCAATTTCTAAAGGGAGTTATTGACAAGGAACCATAATACAAGCAAGGAGGATTGGAAGTGATGGGAAATTAAGATTTGTGGAACCATTGGCAGATGCAGCATGCTTTATTCATTCCAGGCATAGCTCTCAAGGACATTTCTACAGATGTCACATAACAGTAACATCATGCAATAACAGCTATATAATGAGTTACATAGCGTCGTGTTTATTGTTTACTATAGTTCCCCAGATTTGTCATCTTAATTAAGTTATTCCGGATATCCACACCTATGACATTTTGTCTAAACCTTTATCCAGGCCTCATAGCCTCCATGTTCTTTAGTCCACCCCTTTTAGACAACAGACACTTTATTAGAAAGGGCCCATAGGGATATTCCTTTGACCCATAATACACAATAATGGTACAGGGAAGAACAACATATAACAAAGAAATGAGTTATACTCCTAAGGTTGGGATGGTTCACTTTAGCCTAGTGGGAATGAGGCTCTACTACTGTTCAAAGAGGTTTCTAGTCAACTGCTGGATCATCTGTACCTCACTGCCATATGACACAACTACACTGACAAGGTAAAATGTTTTACATCTATATAAGATTTACTCTTGGGGACTCTCTAAAGATACCTTTTGTTTTCCTTTTTTCCTTTTTCCTGGTACTTTCCTATAAAGTGATCATATCAATGATTGGTCCCTTCCTGCAGATCTTCCTTGTTGAACACCAAGAAAGCAGTGTCCAAAAGTTGAATCTATAGGGTATGAGGTTCCTGTAGTACTAAAAATTCTGGAACAAGAATAGCCATTCGTGTTAATGAGTTCTAGAAAGAGTTTAGGAGTCATAAAAAAAGAAAATCAAAATAGTAACTTGGACATTTCCACCTTGAGGTCATCAGCCAAGAAGGCTACAAAGCAACAGAGTTACTTTTAACTTATGGTAAGCTCCATTTCATGATAAATCTTCCCATCTTCCACAAGTTTTCGTGGGGCTCATACATCTTACAGATTAAATTACTCCCTTTCTAAAAATAATAATAATAAAGAAAATGACACAGAGTTATGTAAACATGAGGATGAGACAGAATATGCTAGGATGTAGCCTAGCATGTGACTTAACCTTCATCTTGATTAGTGATCAACACAGAGTTGATTATGTTAATTCACTACCTTCTTAGCTAAAGTATCACAAGACATGAACTAAAATGTCAGTCCCCATTAAACTGCCTAGTACCACTGAGCATTCAGAGGATTGTTATCCTTCGAATTTCCACAGACATTTGGTCACATGTCCCAGTTCTCTTCTCCCAGGTTTTGAGGTTTGTTTTGTTTTGTTTCCTCCTTTCTTTTAGTTTTTCATCTTACTGGATCCCTAGTGGGATGGTAAAAATAGGGGACCCAGAGGAGACTCTAGCATGGGTTATATTGCCAAGCTGTAAGTGCAATGTATTTTTATATCAGACTTCACTGGCAGGTTTTGTTTGTCTGTTTGATCGCTTTTATTTTAAATTCTGACACATTGTTTTACAGTATATATTTCTTCATTTCCATAAAGGACTTAAGAGGTTTTTTTTTTTTTTAAGATCTGCATCAATAATGCCCAGCTATTGAAGGGAGGGGATACATTGAGATAGCTAGACTTGGAAAGCTCATATGAATTTGCAGCAGCCCAAGGAAAACTTGGACAACTATAGATCCCAATAGGCTCAAAACAATGTTTCCAGGGGCTAGACAGCTGATGCCAGTGGGTTGCTACAACAGCTAGTGGAGAAAAGAAATGAGCCTGCTTGATCAGGAGGCTGGAGGGGCAGTCTATGCTAGGTCTTATTGCCTATGCTTTCTGCCCAGTATCTCCAAGCTTGTTTTTCTCTAACCAAAATAAGGTATTTTTTTTCCCTTTTTGAGACTCTTTTGCTCTATGCTTGTCTGCTTCTGTTTCTGCCCCAACAAGCCCTTTGCCACCCTAGGTATTATTTTTATTTCTAGTTAAAGTTACATGGACAGAGAAAAAGAACAAGTTGTGTCATCCTTTTCTAAGTTCTTTTAACTCCAGCACTACAGTTTTAACAGGGCTTCCTTGACTGACTCTTCTGGATATTGTAACCACAAATTTATTATGTAACTGCTTCTTATCTTTTATCTATTACTTATGCTTATTCAAAACCCAAAAGCACAGTGATGGAACATCACTCTGTGTAATGTATAAAATTGGCATTGTGCTTTCTATACAAGTTGCATAGGAATTTACAAAGCTCCACAGTTTAATGGTATATATACAGATAATCTTAATTAATTGAAACCGTCTTTCTTTTATTTTTTTATTAATCATTTTATTCATTTACTTTTCAAATAATATCCCCCTTCCCAGTTTCCCCTCCACAATCTCCTCATTTCATCTGCGCCTCCTGCCTCTATGAGGGTGCTCCTCCACCCACTCACTCCCACCTCACCACTCTAGCATCCCCCTATGCTGGGGCATCAAGCCTCCACAGGACCAAGGGCTTCCTCTCCCATTGATGCCAGATAAGGCCATCTTCTGCTACATGTATAGCAGGAGCCATGGATCTCTCCATGTGTACTCTTTGGTTGGTGGTTTAGCTTTTTTAGTAAGGTGGTGTAGCACAGCAGAGTCTCTGAGCCAAACAGCTGCCATCTTCATTGCTTCTACTCTGCTTGCTTTCCAGAGATCATCACCTCTGAGATTCTTGGCTACTGATGTTCCTTCATAGAAGGAGAGGTTGAGCAGAGTCAGTGGACCCTCACTTAAGTGTCCACTCCTCCCTGCTTGTAATTCTGTAATTCTAGAATTCTGAATTCTGCCCTAATTGGCCTGGTGGACTCGAAGAGTAGCTAGAGCATATGGGCTGGGAACACCTCGGAAGAGGGGCTTCACCTGTGTGGCTGTGGTGATGTCATCATCCATGATGGGTGGAGACTTTTCCAGCGTGGCTTTTTTCCAGTCACCCATGCTCCTGTCTTTAAGTAAGCCCGATAAACTCAGTGGTTCCCAAAAATGAACTTTGGTGAAGTAAAACTTTGGTTTGTCATTGGAACTTTATGAAGAAGGTGGTAGACTGCTTATTGCCATCCCCCCACCACCCCTCTCCTAGGAAGAAAGGAACTTATACACATGGTAAATTTATTTATTACTGGTTTTATGTCTCATGATATTAAAAACAAATATTATGCAAGTTATGAGGTTTGAGTAAGCTATTCAAGGCATGTAAAAGATGAAACTTGGAGATGATATTTGTGATATTAAATTTTCTCAAGTCATTGTTTTATTTATTTATTTATTTATTTATTTATTTATTTTTAGCAGCATAGCTTTATTTTCTTCAGCAACAAACATTGAAGCACAAACCAAATGGCCTCTAATGGCCCCTAAGTGCCTGAGGACCAAATCAGGATAAAAAATTAGGCCCCCACTTTTATGTAGCAGCCACTATTCTGGAATCTTTTCCCTGGGGAAAATTGTACTGCTTAAGAGGAGACGGAGATAAGGTCAGACCTGGGTCCCCAGCCAGGCTTAACAGGAAACCGGAGGCCCAAAGAGATGTATAGTGTTCACCACTAGGGAGAGCTGATCAAGAAAGTTCATGATGGAAATTCGGAGGAGGAGAGAATCTTCCGCGATCCAGTGTCTAAGAGTGAGGAAAAGAACATTAAATTCAAACTGGTAGTTTTTACCCTTATTTCTTTCCTTTTATTTTTTGGAAAGAGATAGAGAATCTCACTATGTAGCCATGGTCGGCGTAGGGCTTGATATGTAGACCTGGCTGGCCTGTGAGGAACTCACAGTAATCAGACCATCTGCCTTTCTCCTGGCTCCTACCCTTTCTTCATCTCCCCTCAGGCATCCATTGTACCTTATCCTGCAGGTAGAGACTGGTCCAGTGAACCATGCCTCTTCTTAAAAGTCACCGAAGTGTGTGTGATGTCTCTGAGCAAATGCAGCCTTGGGTGGAGAATGAATGGCCCAGGTAGCTACCCAGAATGCTAGACTCTTTCAACACTTACATCTCCAGCATGCTGCCGCTCACTTTAAGCTCCTTCCCAACCAGTTCTTGGTGTGGTTCGACATCAGGAGTTAGGGACCCACAGGCGATTTCTGCCTCCAAAGAGGTCGGGAAAGGCACAAAGAGGGCGCTGGTAGAGACTCAGGAAAGGCACCATCTTGAATCGACTTTGCCTCCTTTGCCCTCTAAAATCATTGCATCTGGTCTAAGCTCCCCCAGGCTATAGCTTCCACAAACCTTGGGCCATTCCTGCTCATTTACCTCCATCCTTCTGTCCCTCTGTTCTCAAGGAACTTCTCATGCCCAGACCATCCGTGGTTAACATACCCTAATCAGCGGGGTCCCTCTGCTTCCCTCCTCCCTGCTCTTTCTTTTCTTTTTTTACCCTCCTCCAGACTACCGGCTTCCCTGCTTCAAGCATCTCGCAGAAGGCCCAGCTGTTCATGTCCGGTAGGATACAATCTATGATGTCGGAATCCAGGCCTTTGGATTAAAGGCACGGTGCTTTTGCTGGAATTTCGGGAGGCTTTTATTGCTCTTGCAACAGGGTGAGCTCCACTGGGAATAACTGCCATTATGTCTGCATTACCAGGACAGCAGCAGCCAGTCGGACCATCGGAGCCATCTGCATTGTGGCTTAAACACGTGTGTGCTGTCTGAATGACTGCTGCATCCTCTACTTACAACCCACTCTCGTGATACCAGCCCGCCCCTCCACCATTGCGGTGGCCTAGAACCCGCCTTATCCTCCGGAAGCTCCTCCGGAAGCTCCGCCCCTCTAAGGCTGCCGTTTCACTTGCGCCTGCCCATTGCTCAATTTATTGGCGTTTCCATACCTCTGTCCAAATCAATGGAACTAAAAAAGGTTTAGCTTTTGTCCAAGTTTTATCTAAACATTACACAGTAGTTAAGTGTATTAGACTGGATAACCAACCCTGTAGCTGTTCAATAACCATACTTGGGGAATATACTAATGTGGTCAGAGAGATTTAAAGGGAGAATATTTTTCCTCTTTTCCTCCAAGGTCAAGTAGGCCCACTACTGTAAGACATCTCAAAATAATCTGTATTGTTGTTCGGGGAGAAGAGAAAAGAGAAGAATTAGTAGAGAGAAAATATTTTCTCCATGTTTCCAAAATGAAGCCAGAGTGAAATAAGGCTTTTGACTTATCCTAAAGTAGATTGAACAACTAGAAAAAGGAAGGCGAAAGGAACCAGAGGTTCCTCTCAGGCCCAAGGGACGCCCTGAGTACCAGATCCTCCACTAGCCTTGACGATTAAAACAAAACCAAAAAGCAACAACAATAACAGCAAAACAATCTGTGGTTAATTTTGGCTACCCACACAGACTTATATACCCAAGAAAGAAAGTTCAAGAAAGTACAACTGGACTAAAGTTGTTGGTCTTCTTTAACCATCTAAGGGATTGCACTCCCTAGACATTACATTTTAATCCATGTGGGACATAATTTAGACAACTATATGTCACTAATGATTTTCTTAAGAAAACTGCCTCCCAGATATAAGACTTCAGACCTTGGTGAATTAAACACTGTAGCACTCACCTGAAGCCAAAGCCAAGGGAGATGGGTCCATGATTATTTCAATATAAAAATAAAATAATAGTTACATGTTCTTTCTCTCTCTCCACCCCAGCCCCATCCCAGAAGCAGTTGCTATTAGACTTCTTTGCTGGACCCACCTGCTCTCCTGATATTTATCTCAGAAAATATATTTTCTCCTTTTCTTAGCCTCTCCCTCCTTTGGCACATGTGAAGATTTCCAGATGGATAGCCCTGTTGGTTTTTTTTTCACCCAAATGCCAATAAAATTATCTTTCAGATTAGACCCATTCTTAAATTCATTTATCTACAAGGCCACGAAATTACAAAAGAAACCCTCTGCTCCCCAATAACCTTATGATGTCTTCTTAATGTTTAGAGGGTGAGTGAGAAATAAGAACATCATAGTTATCCAAATACTTTTTTCACGGAAACATGGCTTGATTCCTCTTTAAGTTTGTTTTGCCATTCAGTGCCACGGAGCAGGAAGAACCTGTTGACTTGCCCTGTCTTTCTAATCTTTCACATGGTATTTTAAACTCTAAAGAGAAACATCTAGAATACCTACTCCTTTCCTCTGCACACTTGAATTGACTTGTAAAAAAGCAAGTGTGTTTTCTTGTGTTTGAAAAGAAAAATGCAGGTGCTGTTCCAGGAGGCTCCAGGTCCAGGGGACCGTTGAGAAAGAAACAGATGATAAAGTCCCTCTGCTAACAAAACTAACTACCATAGATTTTTTTCCCAGTCTTTGTCTTATTGTAGCCTATTGTATGCTTTGAAGGCCTGTACTACAGTGAGCCCCTTTCCAACATATAGAGTTGAGGAAGAAATTCTCCTGTTTTCACCATGGATACATATTCCTCTCTTCATGAAGCCTCTCCATATGGCTCTCCTGGGCTTCCTCACAGTATAGGAGTCTCAGTATAGGACTTGAGGGATGGCCTTCCAAAGGCAGATGTTTCTATATTCTCTCCTTTTGTAGATGTGGCTTGATGTTGGCAAAAATCAATATTCTATTTAATCTAATTATGAATTCATTTATAAGTCTCCAAAACCTAGTGTTGTCTCTGTCTGTATTAGTTACATTTAAATGTGACCAAATACCCCTTAAAGCAACTTAAATGGAGGCAGGGGTAGGTGTGACCAAATACCCCATAAAGCAATTTAAATGGGGTGGCTATGGGAGGGGCTTCACTTGGGTTCAGAATTTGAAAGAATCCAGTCTATCCTGAAAGCAAAGGCACAGTGAAGTTCAGAGCTGTGACAACTCATCTCAGGAGACCATATCTTAGGTGCCAGAGAGTTCCTTCTAATACTGGAGAATAAGTGTTCAAGTACATAAGCATGTGCGGAGCACATAAGGTCCAAACCATACGATCTATTTGACAAATTATTAACAAATCCAAAATTAAAGTCAAATGACCTTTTGTGGGTTAGAAAATTAATCTTATTGGATGCTGTAACAAAATTTGCTGAATTAAAACAGGAAAGTATGTACTAGAAATCCAAAATTAAGGTGCCACAGGATAGTAATCTACCTGCAGATTTTAATGAAGTCTCCTAGTTTTTTACTATCATTTGATTCCTGCTGGTAACATTTCTTGGCTTGTTAAACATATAGCCCCATTCTTTGCCTTTGACATCATATGGTGATATATATATAAATATATATATATATTTATATATATATATTATTCATACCAGCTTTCTGTTCTGGTAATCTATTATGATCTCATCTAAACTTCATTTATATCTATAAAGACTCAGTTTCCAAATAAAGTTACTTTTGTGGGTACCATTAGCTGGAGACTTGAATATATCTTTTGGGTCATTTAGTTTAATTCTCAAATGGCAAATTCATCAAAAGATTGATACAGTAAAGGACACCAACTTTATTTAGAAGATTCTAATGGACTGTTGATAAGGTAAGAAAGAAGAGCCCAAGAGCAGATCTAGGAAGGCTAAATTTGAATATCAAAGAGTTCAGATGATAACAAAAGAAAAGCTTAAAAAAAACTGGGTGTAGCTTTCTGAGGAAATGAATTCTTTTCTCAGACTGCCAAGAAAATCATATGGGGGAGAATAAAAATGACTAAATTGAGAACTTATAGTGCATTGGGCAGAACACTGCATATATTGTTTCAGTATTCCTCAAGCCTTAAGAAATAAAAGTATCTCCATTTTCTAGATAAGGGAGTTTGAATACAGGAAAGTTAAGTCACTGTTTAAAGGTTACTTAGCAAATAAAGTGCAGTGCCAAGGATAGAACCCAACCCAAGTCTATTTTACAGTAAAACTATGCCTTGTCATTTACAGAGTAAACTTGCATGAAGTTAACAAATAATTATGGTATGTTTGCCATATGCTGGGTTTCTGATCCTAAGGCATGCCAGGCTAAATTCTGCCAACTCCCTTTAAGTAAGATTTGTCTGCATTTCTACCCAGAGCAAACAGTTTAAATAACTCGTATCTCAGAAAACCAGGTATCAGAGCATTTTAATTGAAAGTGGGACTGAGCTTAACCTCCAGATACATCTTCTAGTTACCTACTGATGTGTTAGATCCTGCTGGACTGTTTGAGGACTGGATGGTTAAGAGTGGTGGTTCATTTAAATCTGCATGATTCTGATGACTCGTGAAGATGGGTGTGTCCTTCTTATGGCTATCTTTCCAATTTTACTTCCTTCTCTCTCAATTGCCTTATACCTTTTACCTATTCTTCTATTGGATGGCTTGATCTTTCTATAGCATTTAAATAACATTTAAAGCATTTTAAGTATGATAGGTGTCATTTTCTGTGTTACAAATACTCCTTCCCATTAAGTTGTATTTCAGTTTGTTTCCTTTCTAGTAACTTGATTAAAAACATATTCCCTAAAGAAGATTAAACAGCTGTCCTGCACTTTTTGTGCTTGTATTTTTATATGAAAAAATAATACCTTTTTAAATTGACAAGGATCTCAAAGTCAGGTATTGATTAGTTCCTTCTTTCTACATGAATTCAATATTTTACCTTCGTTGTATCTTAAATTGTAATTTATATATGAATTTTATATGAGACTTTCCCATTGGCTTAATTAGCAATCCCCTTTTCAATACCAAGTTTAAAATAAAAGCTGCATCAAGAACTAATTATTTGCCATAGTGTCTCTTAATAGCTTTAATAATTTTCAAATTTTATTTTCTAGTATGCATTTTTCCTTTCCTAAAAATATCAGAATTTAGACTGAAGTGTAGATTTTCAGTTCTGCGCTTGCCCGATATGTTAAAGGTGCTAGGTTCAATCCCTTGTGGCCCCCTGCCCTCCCTCTGCCCTCCTCCTGCCTTCCACATGCCCTTCCCTAACCTCCAAAAAAGGGAAAAAAAGGAAAGCAGAATCTTGCTAAACTCATTACATTGGAATTTTTTATAGCAAGAATAAAATTAATCTAGCGAGACAATATAACATGTTTATATTAATATTTGTAAAATGGTTTCCTGACTGTTTAATATTTTTTATTATTTTTCTTTTTATTCTTTCTTTTTATATATAATTAATTATTTCTCATTTATAAGAACTTTTTTTCTGAAATATTCTATTTATTGCTGCTGGAAACAAAAAACAAAAGTATTGGTTCTCACAAATTTGTTCCTTACATATTTCTGAAAGGTCTCTCTGGCATGATAAGCCAGTTAAAGCTGTCTTGTCTTTGTAATGCTGATATGAGTTCAGGTGTTTATTTGCTTGTGTTGAAATCAGAGCACAGGATCAAGCCAACCAAACTGTCAGCTTGAAAGAGGAACAGAGCTAGGCAGTTATCAGTTGCTGAGAAAGGGAGAATCACTCTCTTGGGGGCGCGGCTACTAATAGGTACCCACATCCCAGTCGATGGCTTCACACTCTGTGTATAAGGGAAGCATTATCTAACTTAGGGCTTATTAACGTTATAAAAAAGAACGTAAGTTGGGAGGGTAATAGTGGATGGAAATGATAAAATAAAAAGGAAAGAAACATTGTACAAAAATATAACAATCTCAGAAAGTAAATAAAAATTTATTTTTTAAAATTACCATTTGTAAAGATGACTTGGTGAAGATGACTTGGTGATTCACTCTTAAACAGGGAATGATGGATAATCTTCTCCTTTCACAAGCTCTTTCTTACATCTTAGAAATATAAAGATGTGAGCTTTGGACTTTATCTTACTAACAAGCATATTGCAAGTGTGCTGGCAATTGTTTTTATATACAGATTTCAAATATTTACTTAGTTTAAGTTCCCAAGTACTAGGTCTAATATTAAGATATGTTTGCACTCATGTCATGCATATGAATATAGCTGTTCTTTTTACTACTATTCTGTTGAAAAACAGGTGTTACATGGTCTTGATATTTGTCAAACTGAAGGAAATAAAACTCTATCATGGAAACTAGTGGGGGAAAGTGTTCATTCTGAAAACCTGCTTAAAGACTTAACTTACAGAGTCATCAGATCATCCTGATGTGTCTGTCTCATTGCATCAAAGATAAAACTTCTCTTTTACATGTATTTGGGAAAATAACTCCAAAGGTAAACAAATGAGCTGAAAGCAAGGAGATTTGAAATGGGTGGAAACAGATACATCTGACTTCCACCCTGATTTTTGGTTGTGTTCTGGGCTGCAGAAAAAAAATCAGTCCATCTTAAAGGAATGACAATTTCTAAATGCCTATATAATAAGGCTTAACTCTTGAATAAATACTGAATTTGTTTAGAAATCATACAACAAGTGTTCCCTATTTTATAATAGGAATTTAAGTTATTATATGCATGATTTATGTGCTTTCAGGTGCAGCTTTCTGTTTTTCACCTGGATTATATATAGTTGCTTTATTAAAAAATGTTATCTAGCCAGGAGGTGGTGCCGCACATCTTTAATCCCAGCACTTGGGAGGCAGAGGCAGGCGGATTTCTGAGTTTGAGGCCAGCCTGGTCTACAGAGTGAGCTCCAGGACAGTCAGGGCTATACAGAGAAACCCTGTCTCAAAAAAGAAGGAGGAGGAGGAGGAGAAGAA